TGACGGATACAGATCCATCTTAGTATCTTCCGTGCCAGGTAAGGTTTACCATAGGTGCCTCCGCCAGCATCTCGTTCCGGCATTCCTCGCCCAGAAGACACCTTTCCATGGAGGCATCCAGGCCGGCCAGGGCATCGAAATCATTTCGCTCGCCGCCAAAACTTTCTTTGCGGTTGTTAACAGTGCGGGTGGCCACTCAGCCATGATCTTCGTGGACCTGAAGGCTGCTTTCTACCAGGTCCTCAGGCAACTGCTTGTCGATACCTGCGACGGTGACGAATCCTTGCTTCGTCTCTTCCACGCACTGCAAATCCCTCCTGCTGCCGTGCATGAGCTCCGCGACCACCTTGCCAAAGTTGTGTTGCTTGCTGAAGCCAAGGTGTCCTCCCACGCGAGAGCTCTCATCACTGATCTCTTCGAGGGCACCTATTTCCGGCTATCTACCAGCCCAGATCTCACGCTTACGCGGCGCGGCACGCGGCCAGGAGACCCCATGGCGGACATCCTCTTCGCGTTCACACTGTCGGCATTTATCAGGTCTACTCAAGTTGCTTTGGCACAGAAGGGACTGCTTGCTTCTTGGCCGGTTGCTGCAAGTCGACCGAGCTTCGTATCCGTTCTGGAGCCTGCGCAACTGGCCTGCCCGGCTTGGGCGGACGATTTTGTTGTCCCACAGACCGGTGCAACCTTTGCCGCATTGGTTGGCAACGTTCGAAGTTCAGCCACCCTCCTCATGGAGCGCGCCGTTTGTGCTGGCATGACCATAAAATTCGGCGCTGAAAAGACCGCCGTCCTTTTTCCTGCCGAGTTTCTTGCTAGGCACTCGGAGTTGCTGGACTTGGATGGCGAGGTTTTGGGCCTGGATTTGTGCCCGTCCAGTACTGAGACCTCGTTTCTCCCTGCGGTACAGGCTTACCGCCACCTGGGAGGCATCTTGACTTCGGACCTCAATCCGGTTCCTGATCTTCATCTGCGGCACTCTCAGGCCCAGAGCGTAGTGAAGCCCCTTCGAAAGCGGCTTTTTGGAGCTCTCCGGTTTGATTTGCCCGTGCGTCGCAATTTGTTGCGTTCCCTCGCAATCTCGCGCTATGTTCATTCAGCAGCTTCCTTGCTGCTGACTGCCGCCGTTCATAGACGGGTGTGGGAGAAACAATACGTGGCCTTGTGGCGGCCCCTTGTTGCCAGAACTGCGGTAGACTGCGACGCCCACTGTTATGCTGTTCTCCATGCGGCGGCCGCACCGTCACCACCGCTTGCGCTGGCCAAGGCAAGGGCGGGTTGTCTAGCAAAGTTGTTCGCCAAAGGACCAGTGGACTTACTTGCCCTCCTCTGGGACCACTGGGCATTTGCCCCACAGCGGTCATGGCTAGCACAGCTCTCCGAAGACTTTGCAGTCGTTGTTGCCTTTGTGCCGGCGGTCGGGTTATGTGTCCAGGAGTCTGATGTGGTGCGCTCACTTCTGGCAGCCCATGAGGATGACCCCTACTGGTGGGGTAGACAGGTGAACAAAGCCATTAAGGCCTTCCAGGAGGACCTTCTTAAATGGAAGGCGGCCCGCCAGTCTCAGGCCAAGGCCCGGGCCCCCGACCCTCCAGCGGCTGACTTGGATTTTCCCTGTTATCTATGTCAAGCTTCCTTCCGACTCAGGAAGCACCTTCATGTTCACCTCGCGCGCACCCACCAGATCCTCTCTCCGGCAAGGCACTATGCCATTGGGCCCACCTGCTCAGCATGCCTTAAACTCTTCCCGGATGTCATCCAGGCACAACAGCACCTCAAAGCCTCGGCGGCGTGCTTGCTTCGGTGTCTGTATCTTTACCGTCCGCTTGATGCTGAGGAAATTAAGAGTTTGGAGGCCCCCCACAAGTTGAAGGCTAGGCAGCTCAAGCATGGTCACTGGCACAAGTACCACGCGAAAGGACCGCCTAGGAAGGCCCCTCTGACTTTCGGTCCTCCCCTCCCTACGGCTGAAGAACGCCTGCTCGACTGTGAGCTCGGTGAAGACACTTTGCTCACGTCCTTGAGGAAACCTTTTAAGCCGTTGGACAGCCACGTCGTCTGGATCCGCGACTTTGTACAGAGCCGCAGTACAGAAGGATCCAGAACTTCGGCGGTGTCCTTTTGGAGGGGGAGGCCCTTTGCCTGTTCCTGAATTCATTGCATGCAGTTTTGGGACGCGCTGCCCAGTGCCATTCCGATGGCCCGCAGCACGACGGTCCGCAATCAATCAATCAATCAATATTATGCCTTAAGGCTCCTTATTACATTTATAGTACCAAGGAGCCCCAGCACTCTATTCTAATTATTAAGGCCCCTCCATTTACCAACCAACAGCCTCAGATGAGCTCTGGGCAGCGCTTCACTGCCGGCTATCGAAATCCAAGGCCAAGTGGGCAGTTCTCTAAATTAGGGTCCCCTTTTGTAGTTCGGCACCCTTATCAAAAAAGGACCCCCCAAAAGGGACCCTAGTTTAGAGAATATACCCAAGTCCTAAAACCCTGAAGTCCAAAACCCTCCAACCAAACTTGGCATGCAGACCCTGAAGATCCCGAACCACAAGGTTTAGGGTTAGAGCTTTGGGTTTTTTTCCCACCCGCTTCGCTGACTTTGGGTGTAGGATTTAGGATTAAATGCTTCGTGGAGCTCTGATGCGGCTTTAGGGTTTGAGTGTGGAAGATGTCTTCGAATTGAAATTCAAGCTGGAGCATAGCATTGGGGCCTCTGCATTTGCTGCGCTTTCTTGGGGTCGTTCCGGGACTTGTCCCGGGCATGAGGGTCGGTTGAGACCCCCGGGCCACAGGCCCACTCACATATATTTAATACAGGTTGAGGGGTGTGAAGAATGAACATAATACTTCCTTTGATGAAGTCACATAGTTCTTCTCTTTCTTTCATTGGGCATAGGGGACTGTTGAGGTCCCCCGGCCAGTAGGCCCCCCATGTGTTATGGGGGCTTTGAGGGGAGGTGAGAAAGTTTGGGTGGCAGTTGTTTTGGGTGGACTGTTTTCGATATTATATCTGACAGTTTAAGTTACCCATGTAATACCCCTCGGCTGCAACACTATGATACTTCTTCACTTCTTCTTCTTCTCCGGGGTACAGGGAGCAGGTAAGGCTCCCCGCGCCGGATGGCGCGCCCGTGTTTGGGGTCCTTGTGGGGGCGTCGGTAAAAGATATCGATGCTCGGTCTGCGGAAAGACAACTCAAGAAGCTACCGATGCAAGGTTTACGGAATCTAGACATCCCTCCCCCTGAGCATCGGCATCTTCGAAAGAGCATGTAACTGTAAGAGGCTGTCCCCCTCGACGTAAACTGTGTGATCTCAGGGCGAAAGAGACTAACGATGTAGCGGCAGCCATTCCCCGAGGTCAAGAAGGGACATGTTACGAGGAGCTACATGGGTTCATGGAAAGCTCCATCGTCGGTGGGATCCCCCGTTGAAAAACAACAGTAACAACAAGCTAGAGATGGTTCTTCTCTCTCTCTCTACCAGGACAGAGAGGGCACCCCTCGCGCGCGAACGCGCACCTGCAGTTCACAGGTTTTAGAGTTTTCCCGCGGGGATGTGATCCCCTTAGGCTCGGCTGTGCAACGGCCTTGGAGGTCCTAACTCTCTTTTTACGTGCGAAGTAACAACAGCAGACGACAAAGACTTTGAGGCTTGGGCCGAAACCTAGGAAACCTTGGGTACAACAGGGCATGTAGTCAGCTTACTGAAGTGTTTTTGGAGAGTTTGTCCCCTCCCTGTCTCGAAAAGAAATGGGGCGTCAGCGTGCTTCCCGCCGCTGCTTCGAGCGAGCGCCATGGATTGCCACTGAAAGGAAAGAGGTTAATTACAGCCTTGGAGCTTCCCCCGAATTCTAACTGCACAGATATTGAAGACGAGTTGAAAAGAATCGGGGATTGACCCACTGAAAGGGTTGAACGGAGAGGGGCTATGTGGTCCGAAGAAGAAGTTCACGTCTACACAGCTGCTCAGTAAAATGTATTCCCCCCCACCGCGTCCTTGATTTCACCTCGGATGGCCTCGATAAGGTCCAGTGCTAGGCGGGCCCCCCCCTGGGTCGAGGGGGTTTCTCCAGCTCTTGTCTTCTGCGGCGAGTTGCCTTGCTGGTCCACCGCCATCTCTGCCCCTGTTCCTCCCCTTTGGCCCCCTTCTCCGGAAGTATGCATTCTTGGTGCACTCGATGTAGTATCGCGTTGCACACCCTCCGCTAACTTTGCGACCCGATGGTTGTCGGGAGAATCCCACCTGGTGGTACGATGTGCGTAGGCGTGGTAGCGGTACACAGGCTCCCCCGCACGCCTCGGAGAGGGATCACGTCGAGCTGCAATCCCGACGATCTCGCGGCCCCGGACCTCTACGAGGAAGAGCGCAAAGTTTCCCCCCTCGGTGTTCAGCAACGGCGCAGAGCGAGAGGTTGAGTCAGGTAGCAGGCCCCCGGGTTTAGAGAGACGGAGGCCTTAGCAGCAAGGAAAGAAGGGAACAAGGGAAAGAGCTGGGCGGAACGACCTCGGCCCCAGCTTGAACCACTCATGGCTTGAGCCAAAATGGCAACTATCTCTGTCTCTCTTTTTTCTCGCTCTGTCTTTCCTTTGTTCTTTTGTTTTGTGTTGCTTTCTTAGTTTTTTGTCTCTTGCTCTGGTAATTTATGGTTGTGTTGTTAGGGCCGCAAGGAGCGAGTAAGACAAGGCTCCCCGGCCACATGACCTCCCTCGATATCGGAAGTTTTGCAGGAATGTGAAAGGAATCGGAAGGATAGATCTGCATCAAACGATTTTCTTGCTCTCGTTCTTTCTTTCCTTGTCTTCATTCCTTCCGAACCAAAACCAACAAAGGGCAAACACAAGATCAAGAACGAGGGTCCCGCAACCACGTCTCCTCCCTTCCGAAAAAGCGCGCACACACACACAGGCAAACAAAAACGCAGCATTTCTGGGACGTACCTTCTCACTTGTTGGACAGCAGTCAGCGCTACTATGATGGCTCAGGTCACGGCCGAAATCTCCGAATGCCCCCTGCAAGGTTGTCTTCTTCAAGCCCCTGTCAACAAAGCAAACCCTCTGTCGTGGGGCATGGAATGATTTTCTGTCCACGCCTTCCATGGCTCGCTGACCTGAGGAGAGGCTCTGAGTATGCTTTGGTTGAGGTGGCCGCAGTAAGGCGCTGGCACGCACAAGCGATGCCCCTCCGAATAACCGCCGGGGAAGGCACCCTCACAGCGGTAAGTCAAGGCTCGCAGCTTTGCTAAGGGATTACGTTCACCAAGGCATAGGGCATAGGTAGGATGAGCTTGGGTGCTGAGTACATATATATGTGCGCCGCAACTCACACCATTTCGTGATGACGACAAGCGCGGCCAAAAGCATCTTATTCACACAATTCTAGGGGAAGGCAAGATACTTGGAGCCTTTCAACGCACGCTTTCTACAAGCTGTACAGATCCTGTTCAAGCCTTGGACATTGTGTGCTGCCCACCTCAGCTCGTGAGTCTCTTGCCAACTAAAGAGAAGCGCGAACAGTCCTGGTGGTAATTGCCTGAGTTGCAAGCACGTCGGCCGAAGCTGGCTACGAGTTCATTTTCTCGAAAACTAGACTCGCTCGACTATGCTAGCTGCGAGGAGCTTATCAGTGCACGCGTGTTTGACCAGACTTCATTCGCACACTGCTACTGTAGAATGTATCTGCGCGAGCTTGTGTTGGCAGTCGCAGCGCATTTGCAACACGGTGTTCCTTCTTGGAAGCATGCAACGTACCGTGAAACTACAAAAGAGGGCTGTTTGAGACCAGCTGCGAATCGGCGGTAGAAAAGGCAGCGCTACCATGCAGCATGCAGCAAATACTCTCAACACTGGCCTCTACATGTGAACATGGCTCGCGAAGCTCTTGTCTCCGTGCTTCTTGCAGTTGTCGAGGTGGAGGTGCTGGGGCCACTGTCCCCTCGTGACTTCCTGCGTCTTTCTGTGCTCGTCGCAGCTCTCCTTGATGCGCTACACACGATTTCGGGCTGGGATCAGCATGCCCCTGCAGCTGGACTTTCGCCATCTTCATTCTCGGTGAAGACATCTCGACTATCGCAGGAAGGGCATGATCTCAAGAATCGCTGCTGGGGAGTATTCGTTGACCCCCGGGATGGACTCTTCAGGCGGGGCCACAACGTATCGAGAAATGTACTGTGCGAGGGGAGGAAGATCCTTCCAGATCTGCCACGGCATCGTGTGCCGATCCAGCCAACCCAAAGAAGGCAGGGCTCCAGGAGGGAAATACTCCATGTTAGGCAGGGCCCGCATCCTGTCGGAAAGGTTAGGAGTGCCACCGTGCCAAAGTCGGTTGTCCCGAAGAATTGCGGCTCCTGCAGGGCAGGAGGACTCGGAGACGGTTGTTGAATCCCGTGTGCCTTGAATCCCAAACCCCTAGTGTTTTCAAAAAAAGAAGCTGTCCTGCTTTTATCGGGCACAGTGTGTTCAGCAACATCCAGTCAGGTTCCTGCAACTTTGTCGTGTGTGGCTTCGCTGGGTCGAGACATGTCCAGAGTCGGAATGGCTTCTATTCAGCTGCAGCAGCATGAACGAGCCTCGCGCAATGTTGGAGGGCGATGCCGCCAGCGATGAGAACCGGGCACCACCCGCATCGGACCATTGATCGCAGTGAGGTCTTCCAACGCGAAATTCACCTCAGCCAAAATGACCGAAGTCTTCAGCCCGTGGGTACATGGCAAACTTGAGGCTTGTGCCGTCACGGCGGGTGGCATGTCGTAGTCTGCAACATGCTTGTCAAGCGGGCCCCAAATGGCGTCAGGGTGCAGAGCTTGGTACTCCTGGGCAAGCTCACAGCATCTGGGTTCGGGATGAACATTCGAAGATCTCACATAATGACACCCTGCCAAGAATTAATATTATGCTACCGTCTTTGTGCTCTTCCTGCCCCATGTACACATCCAAGTGTCAATTGCACCAGCCAAAGCAACATCGCCCCCACAACCTGCCGCGAGGTACTCATGCGATCCGAAAATAGCCATCAAGAGCGGAGTCGTGGTCTCTAGGTCCACCAGGGAAGCGTAGGCCTGCAATGGCTTTTCGAACGGCCCCTTCTCAAGTTTCGGTTGCGCATGTATATATATATATATATATATATATATATATCGTAAACTCGTCACATGGCCTCTACAACCGACTAGAACCGGACAGAAAGCGACGTTGTCGCTTGTCGCCTGCAGGTGGAAATTGGACTTGGTCCTCGAAGAGTCCCCCAAACTATAACCTCAGCTGTCGAGGTGGAGGTAACCAATTCGCCACCCTGGCATTGCTTTCTGAAAAGGGCCGCAGGACAGTTCAGGTTCATCAATGCTGCTACTCTTCCGACCTTCTAGCCATTGCAAACCAAGCAAAGGCCCGAATTAACAATCCAACAATCGTTTTGCCGATATCTGATTTTCAGATCTGTTGGGGCACAAGTTGGTGCAAAAGTCTGCCGTTTTGGGCTTTAACGGCCAGACAGCCAGCAGCTGAGGTTGGAGTATAGGGCTCCCCCCCACGTCCTTCTTGTCTGCACAAGATGACCTCTCAGCCCTTCGGGTGTTAACGCCATCTGGGCCTGGGGATCTGGAAGGCCCAGGTCACCTTTCGAGTCTTTGGCTGCACGCAAAACTTTATGCTTCAGGGTGCTGGTCTAGCAGTGCCAGGCAACGCATGAGGCTGGGCTGACTCTGGTATTTTTTTGAAGTTTCCCGTCAAAATCCATAACGTTCTCTTGCACGTGGTTCCCTATTCAAAGTTATCGACAAGGCAACCGAATGCACCTAAAAGCAGGACCTTCGAATCAAAGTAGCAACTGTGCCTGCGAGGTCAGGCGCAGTGAAGCCACCCCCAAACCAGGGCTTTCCTGCTTGTCTTCTCGTCCAATCGTGCGTGTTTTCACCCTTGAACTGACAGAACTTACAAACCTTATTTTATATAATTTGATTTGATAGAACGTTCTGCGATTCTTGCTGTGCAGCTCGCCAACGAACTTGGCTTGCCAGTGAGAAAAACGACTCCACCTCACAAAAGCTCCGTCCTGCATTGTCCCGCGCACGATTCGTATCCTTGCGCAGAGGCCAACCTTCAAGCATGTCAACCCTGAAGCCTAAACCAGTGAACCAGTCGAGCAGCGATGTGGCAGCTTCCCTGCTCCTCCACCGAAACTTCCTTCAGGATCAGATGCAAAGATCTGGTCCATGATATTGCTGCAAGCCTGGCCCGTTCGTTCCTTTTCTTTCCTCCCGGCTGGTTCAGTTAATGATTGTTTTGCTGCTTATGGACCAAAATACAAATGGCACCACCAGATCGGGGTCGGAACGCGCATGCTGGCCCCTTGTCTAGAATGCTACATTGCTGACACACATGCTTTCGCAAGGGGGTGGAGAAGTCTGTGACTGTGAAGCTTCTGATGTCGTCTTGGGGGACTAGCGAGTGGAAAGCAGCGCTGCAGTTCATGACTACGGAAGGCTCGCAGTGATAGCGGTTTCTGCCTGGGATTTTGCTGCTCATGCTACTTGCAACATGCGCCTGCCTACTTCCAATTCGACAGTACCGTTAGACAGAGAAGCCCGGTGCCTTGCGCAAGTCCTCAAGTTGTAGCTTTGACAGTGCATTGTCCAGCACCACGAATCCGTTGATCTGAAAGCTCTCCAACGCACGGGACACGTTGAACTCCTCGGATCTGGCGAAGCCAGATCAACATGAAAACAACCATGCTGAAGCCACCGGCGCTGCTGCGTCACTCAGGTCTTCTCGCCAAGTGGCAGCACTTGACGGCGAGAATGCCGGCATCCCCGACATGCAGTTTTCGCTCTCCAGGTGTTGGCGCAATGCAAGCACGCCGGGATCTGCTGGAGATCTCAGCCAACCTCTGGGATCACCAGTGGGCTTGTGTTTGGAGCGACCAGTCTTGTTACGCTAGTCTCGTTGCTGAGAGTGCTGACGGCATCAGTGGTCGCACTGATCGAGAGCAGGCATGTTCTCAATACACTGACTTTGAAGGGTGGAAATGCCCGAAAGAAGGCTTCTGCTTGCCAGTGCGATGTGATCACGGCATGGTATACTAGTGAACAGGGTCACTCAGTTCGCGGGCTTAGACTGCAGACTTCACGTAGAAGTCCGCGCCCCAAAGAAACCACGAACGCCACTGAACGCCACTGTCCCACTGGGCCTTCCACCGCCGGATCCCGTTCCTGCGCAAGAAGTCCCTAGAGCTTCCTGCTGATTACTGATGTCGCAGCTGTAGCAGGGGACCATCACAAACAGCATCACTGGCGCAAGTTCATCCAGCTATCAGATTATGGCGTGACTTTGATGTCATTGACGTTGGGATGATGAGGCTTCGAGCGGTCGTAGAGCTAGGAGCAGGATGAAGCAGAACACTCGAAACCCTTTTCCAGGTATTGCGAGGGCCTTCGCATGCCTTCGTGCATTATCTACGGACGGAGGGTCGGCAGTCGAGAATTGGCGCGAACGCGCGGATAGTGGTTTCTTGGCATTCCGGCAAGGATCGTAAGCTTTTCGAGCTCATGGCCGCAGTCTCAGCCGACGATCACGAACTTATCGCCTTCTCGGCCTTCTTATTCTCGTCTTTATTCTCAGAGCCTTCGCCTTCGCCCTTTGTCGTTAACCCTTCCGAGTAGCAATCACGACCAATCTGCGCGAAGGGGGTCCCCGTAGAGCCTTGCGAGAATTTAGAACGGAACTTCTCGATCACTCCGCGGCACAGGAACATAAGTTAAAGCAGGGAAGCCGGGTCGGGGCTGGGGCGGGTAGCCGACGGGGTCAAGATGGGTCAAGGCCGAGCGACTCGAAGGCTCGGTCGAGGACTCGGTGCTGCAGACCATCCATGTCTGTCTCGTTTTCTGTGGACTCGGGGTTCGACTCCCGGTGCCACTTGAACTTGCGAAATGGGGTCCAAGAGTTCTGGGTGGACGGCCATCAAGGCGGTCACCCCACAGCCATTCTATGTGCTGGGGCTGCTTTTTGTGCCTCCAGCGTAGCTAGGACGAGCGGCCCACATTGCAGGGTTAAGTCAGAGGGCTTTGTTGAAAGAATTAGCCTGAAACAACAAAGACTCAGGTACAGCCGCTCACACACAGCATCTGTTATGCCATGTGCCAGATGTGCCAGGCAGCTGCAACAGGCAGAAAGTAGACTCACATCGCTATTCCTTTCAAGAAGTCTCGGCCCTCTTTAGGGCGCAAGGGTTGCACTTTCTCATTTACGGCGTCGAGCTGTTTCGGTTTTGTGGGTCGTGTATCCGTTTCACGTCAACCCCTCGCGGGTCGTGGCTTGGGGCGGATGCACCCATCGGTCATCTTGTATGCCGCATCTGTGCACATGACTTGCACTTAGCAGGCTTGAGATGCGGTCACTATGATGGCCAGGGTTTAGCAGTGACACGCTTGAGACGCCCCGCACGGCTCCTTGAAGACGGAGCGCCATGGACCAGATGGCTCGTTGGCTGGCACTCGGTGATTCCAGGCCACCTCGCTCCGGCCTTCCAGGCCCAGGAAGCCTGGGCAGATGCAGATGGCACGGATGCAGATGCACTGGCGCTAGGACTTTTAGCCACTTCTGGTGCTGAGAGACCCAGGAGCCAGCATCGCCGTCTTGGCAGCGTCCTTGTGCTGCCGGCCATGCTAAGTGAGGCCCGATTGCCCCTGGCCCTGACATTGGGAGCATTTGTAAGCAGTGATTAGCAGTGGCTCCAAAGTGAGGCTCAGTTCGTGTGTTTGAGAAAGAGAGGAACCGAATCAAGCATGCTCACAGTTCCGGATGCGGGTACAATCAGAGCATCTGGCGACCACATAACCGGCTGGGAGCCGTTGCGAACTTGACATGCTGTGCACCGTAGCTCCGCGTGACCCTAAAACTTGCCGTCGCACACAGCCTTTTGTAACAAGTCCGATTGCATTCTCTGTCGGTGATGCCACCGCGAAGCCAGCAAAGCTGCTCGATACCGCTGCAACACGAGCCTCGGAGAATGAGCCGAGCAAAAGCCACTCAGCCTTCTCCCACTCGCAGGCCGAGGCTCCCTAGGTAGGGCACAGAGTGCATGGATCGGAGAGCCGGCGAAAGGCCGAAAGCTTCCAGTCGGTCGCAGACTTTCTGCATCCAGAATGTGCATCAAACCCTCCTTGTCTCGAACAAAAATCTGCTGACTCTCGCTGATCTGGGTGGAGGCCCTAAGAGCTGAGCCACCTCGCTGCCAAGAGCCATTTCGCCATTCTCGAGAAGAGCCATACAGAGAAGCTTGCCCGGAAGTTTATGGGACGACCCGGGCCGGCATCTTCGTTGACTCGGCTCAGGTCGGCGGAACCCATCTACGCTCGCATTGCTCGCGCACTGCTACTGGTAGATGAGGTCTGTGGTTCGCAAACTTGAAAATGTCGCGGGAATGTTTTGCTGATTCATAGCAAAACCAACTTTCGTGACAACCGCGGTGCTTTGGATATTTTGGATCCAGTTGCATGTCGTCGCTGTGCACCCTCTCCACACATACTCGGCCATCGTGCCCGCATGACAACAGCCTCAGCGACGGGAAATGACATTCAGGACCCCATGGACATGGAAAGGAGATGCAAGGGCTTCTACTGGGACAACCGAGGCCTGGTCGGGTCTCTTGTTTCCTTTTTACTTTTCTTGATCAAGCCCCCGCAGCACGAACATACAGCGCTACAGGTGCACACTACAGCTCACCACGTCGGCTTCGATATCCGAGGAGTCTTCGAAGAAAAAGGCTAAGACCCAAGCATTCGACACATGTGTACGCAATCCTTTGCCATCAAATTCCCCAGGCCCCGCCTCGCTCCGGAGGAGGCCAAAGCGGTTGTACGACCGGCATGAGGGCTCTCGCTTAGAGTAAGTGATGCTTGCCTCATCTGCAGGTTCTTTGGCTCTGTGACGTGGCTGCCGCTTGCTGCAAAGATGCGCTTCGGCGAGCCAGTCCTTTGGGCGCAGCTCTTTGACAGGCAGCCGGAACCAGTTGTGGTGCTTGGAGGCTCCAGCTGCGACCAAAAACCCGCCGCACACCTTGGCCAAGCCCAGATCCTGGCATGGAGAACCACTGGAACTCGGATTCTCAGGCAAGCGCGGCAAGTGCAAGGAGATCACCTCTCACCTTGAAGGGGGTAACATCGGCACATGTGCCTGATGTGCACACAGCTGGCCTCAAGGTCACCGACGTGATGCCAAGACGAAGCTGATTGCTTGTCAGCACCATATTTCCTCCAGACTTTGATGAAGTTGCACCCGATACTGAACAAATGGCCGTCGTGGAATAGCAGATCACGAACCCAACCGGTGTGCCCGCGAAGAGTGGCCAGCAAGGAGCCGTTCGGGCCGAAGATGCTGGCTGTGCGTCCGGCGCCTCCTCCAACCGCAACGACTCCAGTTCCGGGCTCCGCGGCCACTGAGAAGAAGGGACTCCCCAAGTCGGGGTCGGTGGCCTTCTGGACTTGAGCCCATTCTCCGCCGGCCTCTTCCCACCATTCTGCGCCACCCGCGGCCAAGATCAGCCGAGCTTTGTCGCGAGAAGGCAAAGCCGCCAGGGCTCGTGGGCCTGCCGTAGCAGTGCCTGACTGGGGATGCTGTGCATCGGCTCATAGAACCTACAACTGAGGAAGCCTGACAAGTGCGGCAGAGCTACTCTGACTTCTCCGAGCGATCGTTGATTGACGCCCCGACTGCCCGAGGCAGGTGAGCGATGCAAATGGAAGCAGGAGCCACATGGGGCCAGCAGAATTTGTGCAAAAGGTGCCTCCACCTTCAGACACTTATAGTACTGTACACGCTATTGTCACTCTGCCTCCTGTACGCAACAACTGCCTTAAGGCATGCAGAAGAACCTTTGAGTAACTTTGCATGAAGCCTAGCTCATTTCTACACCAACTGAGCAGCACGAGAGATGAAACAACAGATCAAAGCCGGAGGTCCACACCCAGCCACATCACACATCCACGACATCCAGGGTTCTGCGGGCTGCGCACCAAACATTACCACCGATTTGCCTTTCCAGCTGAAATGTAACCACCAGTCACCAGGCGGAGGCCCCATCGATAACGCTCCAAACCCAACTTGTGGCAGCCGACTCCCCGACTACTTCCCAGTGCGAGCCAATGGCTTACACAATAGGTGTTCATACAAAACAAGGGTGATTCTCTGGAGGCATTCATCATCTAGCGAAGTCTACAACGAAGGCCTGTGTCAGTCGTACACAAGCTTCAAAGCGGCTCACATGCACTTCTCTTTCAGCTGTGGCACCGAGACAAGCGCATCCATGAATTGGGCTGTACATGCCAGGAGGCTCTCCTGGCAAGAGACGGCTTGGAAAACGCCATCGGTCCAGCCGCCAGCGCTTCCTATTGTTGCTGGCTGTTTGCCCTGATGCCAGCGACTTTGAGGAGGCCACTGCTGGCAGCTTGTGGTCTACCTGGGGGCCGAAGAGGTGTTCTACACCAGCTTCTACATTGAAGCCATATCCAACCTTTTACTGAACCCTACATATAGTCGTCCGTGTGTGTATATGTATGTATGCATATATATATATATATAGACACACACACACAATCAGATATAGAGAGAGAGAGAGAGGCAGGCCGAAAGAGCTGCCTCTGCAGCCCCTACACATTTGGGGGTCGCGCATCGGTGCGGCATCTTGCATTGACAATGTCCCTCCTGCTTCGCTGCAGAAACTGAAGGGGTCCCAGAAACTGGTCCTACTAAAGCCGGGCTCAAATGGGTGACATCGAGCCCGGATGTAAATCAAAATTCATTTTACAAGTGGTCGTCGCTGTTGGCCGACCAGCTCTGCATCTTTGCAGCTATGCAGCAACGGTTCTGAATTCGGAAGCATGGCTAAAGCCACCAGAGCAGCATGCTACGGCTGGGTGGCTCCGAAAGTTGTGCCTCGGCATGGCGCCGGGCCTTGTGCGTTCTCTGGGGGCATTGATGACGCAGCCGTTTTTGGAAGGAACAGCTCCGCGGCTGAAGTCTCTCAAGCGCTGGATGCGCCCCCGATGCTCTTTGGGTGCTTCATCGGGCTCCTCGGCTAGCATGTGACCCCGGTGTGTGTGTGTGTGTGTGTGCATGTGGCCGCGCGCGATGGCAGAATCCCAGGTTAAATGCAAAACGAGCCTCCCCAAGCAGCTCAGCAGAGTGGGACCCGGCTTTGTGCCGATTTCGACCTAAGCCATGCATGTGGACATGCGTGCTTGTGTGTCTGTGCGTGCGTGCATGCGTGGGTGGGTGGGCGGGCGGCGAAGGGCGTGCGTGTGTGTGCATGCGTGTGTGCATGCGTGTGACAGAGTGAGTGAGTGAGTGTGTGAGTATGTGAGGGAGTAGGCGAGTGAGTGAGTGTGCCTGTCAAGCTTCAAATCCGCGGCTAGCTCTCGAGGATAGACAAAGGCTAGGCGCGTAACAGAAATGAGACACAAGCCAGTGGCAGCACTACACTATGCATTCTTCCAACAGTCTTCTCTGCACAGTGTTCAGCTCCTACTCACTTCTGTACAGCAAGCAGCTCACAAGGTCAAGGGACTGTACAGCGTTTTCACGCAGGCGCCACAACGCCACTCCAGTGTAAGGCTCCAGTATTGCGGTTCGTGTGCTCAGCCTCTCTCCTAGTCATCACATGTAGCCCTGGAAGAAGATAGCCACAGGTCAGCAGTGGGGCATGATGGGACATCTGTATCCAATCATTGTCAGCACAACTTGGCAGCCACAAGTACTGTACCAACTAAATCATATGTATATGTGTATATACATATATACTTATTTATTTGCTTATTGATTTATACATGTGCATGCCATGTTGATAACATAAGCTTCTGTAGTGTATATACCGAGAACGGGTGCCTCTGGCCTGTGTAAAGCATAGACGGATCGCGCTAAAGAGCCGCGAGGACTGCGACTTTAGTTCGCAAACCGGCGTTGCGCAGTGCAGCGTTGCTTTGACTTTCGCCACCTGGACTTTGAATGACTTTGACATGTCTGACGCTCGGACCGTCTTGACCCAGGCAGCTCTGGAGGTCGGCTCCACTGGGCGGCCTGCGGAGCAATCACATCTGGATACTTCGCATGAACAGGAAACCCCGGAAGTGCCGGAGCCTACCACAATGTTGTTGTCGCCTAGGTTCCACGCAAAGGATGATGTTCGGCGGCCATCGTATTCGCGACATAAGCAAAAGAGGTTCTGGATGCAGACAGCCACCTGTACTGCCGTTGGCCACGACTGCAAGACGTTCGATGCTTCGCTTGCGAAAAAAGGTCACCTCAGCTACGGAAATCCCAAAACTGGGGCCAAAAGACGAAAGCACATGTGGCGCTCTGCAAGCGAGCTAATTCGCCAAAAAGAAGTTGAGAGTGACGACTTGCTGAAGGCACCTTTCGATAAGACTTCTACTCTGTGCATCTTTGATGCCCATCACTGGGAACTGAATTGTTCAAGGTCTGTCTTGCTATGTGTGCCCTGCCAGCCAGATCGCAAGGAACGCTGCCGCGAGAACAACCAGCAGAAGCGACATGCAAGATGTCACAAGAACGAAGGTCAAGGTCATCGTGGAGGCAGTCTTGCTCACCTCCCGGTATTTCCGAGTCAGCAAACCGACAGCATTTCAGCATTCTATGCATGGCGCACAAACGGATTAGTGACCCTCTGGTCGTTACCCACACAGAACACCAGGAATCGCACAGCTTGCAGACTCAGTCGTCACCGGCATTTGGGAGTGAGGTTGATGAGCCACGAAGAAGAAATTCGTTTTGTAGACTCTTAGAGTACAGTCGGCCTCTTCCAACTCCGCCTTTGTCCGTAGGTGGAGGAGCGCCTCTTCATGAAGGTCCTGTTTGGTTTCCCGGTGCTGCTGCTTTTCCTGACAAGTCGAGAGCTCCACAAGAACGTACGTGTGCAGTCCAGAGGGGCTGGAGAAATGAGGGCTCGCTGCGCTCCCTTCATGCAAGTGTCAAGGCGGAGCTGCCACAAATTCTGCGAATGCTCTGCTGTCATCTCTTCCAGCTCGTCCTGAAGCCACACTTGGGTTTCGGCTGCACAACCGAGCAGTGCCAGGCAGGTTCGAACGAACAGCAAGATGACGAATCTCTCAGTGTAGGCGAAGGCATGCATTGCAGACACCCTGCGGCGAAAGCAATGACTCATAATGACTTCTAATGGTTGCTCGTGCATGTGGCGCAAGTATCTCAAAAAGCATGGTCCGCAGCTGCTGGCATTGCAGACTGACAGCTTGCAGGTGAACAAGCGGGGTCGTTCAGTATCAGAGGCGGCACAGCCGCGGGAGCCAACGACACAGGGGATAGCACGGCCAGACTGTGACCCGCAACACATCGAACTTGTGTTGGCATGCTCGGTGGAGGCAGTAATTTCGCAAGTGTTTTTCAATTAACATGAAAGTTACTTGTTGCAGACGGGAAGCTCCGGAAGGTTGCAGCAAGGCAGCAAGGAAACGATTAACTTGCTAACTAATGGTTTCTATAGGGCCCTAGATCCTCAACCCGACGTGTTCCTGCGCACAATTAGGATGCATGTTAATGGTTTCGACCCTAGATGGCATAGGAAAAGAATTTACTTGCATGCTCATCGTTTCTACAGAGCCAGGAACCTTGAATCCGAATTGCTCCGACAAACAGTTTACTTGCAAAACAACGGCTTCTGCAGGGCACCGAACCTTGACTTCAATCGTCTGCGCAGGGTTTTCAGTCAAACACGAATACTAGTAGCAATGAGAGGACAACCAGTATCAATCAGCAGAATACGAATATTAATCAGCGGAATGCTTGTGCTAATGAACGGAAAAGAATACTAGTATCAATAAGCGGCATACTTGTATTAATAATGATAATAATAAAAATACTCATACTCTGAGGAGGACTACGAGTACTAATAAAAGGAATACCATACTAATAAGCGGAACATGGTACTAATAAGAGGAATACGAATGCTTCCTAGAGCAATGCTTGTACGAACAAGAGAAATACTCTTACCTCTTATAAGCATACTAGTAGTAACAACAAGCACACTAGTACTAATAAGAGGGATACTTTTACCATGATGCGGAGTTTCTGTCGAGCGCAGAAGGGCTCCCAACAGGTTTGTGAACATGCAACGCACGAGTAGTAGGGGTACACTACGACAGTGAGACATGCTCAGCAGTAATGAAGGATACATTACCTTCAACACAATTAGCACTGCAATGAAGAAAACATAAATAGAAATAGCCCTTGGGACTGCGTCCCGATGTATATTCTTCATGTTACACAGCAAAAGGTCCTTCACGATTTCTAGCTGACTGTTTGATCTCATTTAGATGTTGGAAATTATTGACATCAAAAGCATTAGCGTCTCCATGCAGGTTTCTATATGCCTTTGCAAGCTTCAGTGATTCAATCTGCTCTGGGCCTGCCTGGCCACCTTCTGGTGGGAGCTCTAGGTGTCAACGCGTCTGTTTTGAAAGTAACTTGAACCAGAGGGCCTGCAGGGCTGGCTCGCAATACGTGTCCAAACAGTCTGAACTTTGCCTTGCGCCATGTGTCCGCAAAGCGCTCAAAAGAACATTCATAATTATGATTCATAATCGCTTCGTTTTAATCATACAAAGCAATGTGTGAACCATTTGGTGGCGGACTGCTCTCCCTAGACGGCTGAGGCGGGAAGGAAGTTGACGAAAAGGAATCATCTCATTGAATTTTAGATAAGTGCTCGGCAGCTCTTGGTGGGTAGTCAGCTGGAGGGATACCTGTACCATCCTTACTTTTGAATTTGGTGAACTTCGGAGGATCAGGCCACTCCACTTTATCCTTGCGCTGTAACTGCTTCGAGTCCTTCAAGGAGGTGCTGTTCTTTATCCTTCAGCTTGTGTTGTAATATCTTTGCTAACCGACTCGGCTACATCCCATTGTTGATTTTCAATAGCTTACCATTTCTGCTCTTAAAGCGAGCACGTGCGCTGTGAAATATACTCCTTTTATGTTCGAGAGGTTTTATTGGCGGGTATTCCTTAGCGGATTGGAGAAGACGTGTGTTCAACTGGTCTAAGGTTAAATCTGCACTGTTAGCAGTCTTTAGTTCCTGCAGAGTTTTTAACGGCTACTGCGTTGAATTGATTTAACTGTATTTGGTCCGGTTTTAGCAGCTTCATTTTCCAGGTGTTTGATTTATGAGTGTTGGCCGTCAGCTGAAGCTTCACAATTGCAAGCAAGAGTTTGTGATCTGTATCTACAGATTGAACGTAGGATGTGTCAACGTTTTTGATAGCGTTCTTCCAACGATTGTTTCGCAGCGATGTTTTCATGAGTCTAGCATTGAAGTCACCACAACTAAGTTTAGGCGAGAAGCTGTAACGATCCTCGATCAGAGTCTGAAGCTCATGGTCATGCTGGTGTGCTAGCTCCGGATTTGTACAGGATTGAGGTGCGCAAATAGAAATTACATCCAGAGTGCCTGCACGCATCTTTAGAGAGACCCGCATGTTACGACCACTAACCGATTGTACCGAGATCAAGAATTTGATTGCATAGGGAGATAACACTACTCCTGCACATTCGATATCGTTTCTGAAGATAGCACCGCCGCGGTCCGGATTGTTTCGTGCTGCTTTGCCCGATGTTGCCAGCTGACTCGCCTTAGTCCTGGCATCATCTGGAAATGTCTGTGGATCTTGAACGAGTTTGTTGGGAATTGTGGTTGATTCGGGTTTCTTGTAAGCATAAAATGTCAATCTTTCTTTAGACATGAGATGAATTTTTCTCGTTTCGTTGCTGAAGATAAACCTCTACAACTGAGAGAAGCGATTTTAAACTGTTCCAGGCATTTCTTTCGCAGGACAGCTGATTGGTAACCTGAAAAATTTCAGATGTTATACTACATGCATCTTCCAAGCTAGACTTTGAAGTGTCTGACGTGATGATATGCTGTGTGGATTACATAAACCTGCTGTTTTTGGAGCTAGGCAAACAGTGGCATGACGAGCCAGGTCGATGGCCTGCTTTTTGACAAGATGTCGTCTCACGCGATGAGTTCTGCGCATGCAAGCTCGGTTAACTCTACGTCTTATGCGTGCTGCCTCGCTTCCACACGTGCGATGTTGTTTGAGGCTTGCATGCTACTTGTAGTTACCGCTATCTGGTTGCTCATCGAAGCGATGAGCGGCTTTCCTGCATCACGTTTGGGGGGGGGGGGTATGGGGATGTTGATAGGTTGGCTCGTACTTTTTCCAGGCTCGTATTCTTGTTTGTATGAGATAGCGATTTTAACACATACGCTTGATTATGGAGCGACGGGTGGTGTGTCGTTGGGGGAACAATAACTGGGTTGTTATTGACTTGAGATGTACGAGGGTACAGCGAGATTGCCTCGAGAGGCCTTGCGGCCTTATGGCACCTGCCGCGCTGTTTTTCTTCTGCCATGCTTGCATCAAGCTGCAAACGAGAGTACCGCTCGATCTTCTTGCGCTGGAAGGGGGCTTGGGCATAAGCGACGGCGTGTTGCCACAATTCACGTCACACTTCCGAATGATTGGTGCTGTCGTTCACTGGCGTAGAGGAGATTGCGAAGGCTTGAATGGGACCTTGGCCGTCTTTGCATGCGACGTTGCATTGAATGGCATGGTCGTATTGTCCACTTCCATGGCTGTTGGAAAACTTCCTGTGCCCTTTCCCTTAGCACGTCCCGACTGGTTCAGAAGATCTTCGAACTTTGACACCCACGCACGTTCAAACTCCACGTAATTTGCCATGTGCTTGGTGGGCAAGCGTACGACACCAAACATTCGCCGTCCTCCTTTGTCGTCAACGTGTGATCTCGCAAGCTGTGATTAAACGACGCTCCCCACTGTTCCATAACATTCATCGAAACCTTTAACGGGATTCCTGTAGTTCTATCTTGATACTTTTCGAAAGCGTGATTGAGAATCCTTTCCCAAGTAGTTTCAATCTCACGGTTGATGTAAAACTTCTCCTGGAGGTGCTGCGCGTTGGATTTTCTTGTGAAATCGAGCAACTTGTTCTGCATTCTGCTGCGCCATGGTTGAGTGATTGACACCACGTCATAGGTGAGAGCATGTAATACGCGGAATGCCAGTGCTAGTACTAACAAGAGGAATATTAGTACCAAGAGCAAACCTATACCCTGCGAACAACTAACTTGCAATTTAATTGTTCTGCAGGCCTTGCATGCAACAAACTGGCAGTTCGATTGTACCCGCAGTGCTTGTACAAGCCAGCAACATGTAACTTGCATTTCAATCGTGGCCCCTAAACCCTCCGCGGAACCCGAGTACCGAAACAGTTAACTTGCAAGTCGCAATGAAATACACTTGTGTAATCGTTGTTTTTTTCGGAGCTCCTTTGTCATGTCGTGGTCTTCGCGCTCCTCACAGAAACAGCCCTACGGAAGCTTCTCTGAAGGTCTGCACACAACGGCCGGCAGCTGAGCGCGCAACTAGGGCCAAAGCGAACTTTGTGACGTTGTGATTGGCCTGCTCCTCGCAGCGTAGTCGCTGAAACTCCGGCCATCGCAACATCGTAGCCCGACCCCAGCACTGCCCAGAAGCTGCCCACAGCACCAACAACGGCTTTCGGGTCACTCCTCAAGGAGGTCTCCCTCCAAGTCTTCCAGCTCCTGGCAAATGGCCTAAGAGGGCCTAAGTTCGTAGAACCCCTTATACGAGCATGAGCTTGGAAGCTCAATGCCGCGGGGAGTCCTTGTAGTTGCTCTGGTTCGCCTGATCAACATACGAGTCGTAATTTTTCCATAGAAGCACGTGCAAAGCATCAGAAACTTGCCAGTCTGACTACGCACGAAGGCCCGCGAGATGCGGAAAAATGACTAATCCCTTCCCCCTAATATTAAAAAGGGGGGG